CCCCCCCCCCCCCTCGGCTGCTGTATCAGGTATGTTGCCTCTACCACGGCAGTTCGGAGGACTATCGGGCTGCTGGTTGTTCTGCCTTTGACTGTGAACTGACTATCATGGTTGCAACTGGAGGATCACCGGAGGGCCTGCGTTCGACTGGTTGACCTGACTGATTAGGTTTCAGGTTGCCAATGCAGACTGCACCTGGGCTGAGGAGCACGATTGCTGTGAACGGTGTCTGTTGCTGGCTGCGCAAACTGCTGATACGAGCGGCTACGGGCTGTTACTGCGAGCTGCGAGCAGCTGCTGTTGTTTGGCTATGAGCAGCCGCTGCTGTTGATCGATTACGAGCTATAACCCACTGCTGGAGGGCCGCATTTGTTGGCGACTGCTGATTGGACTGCAAGGGTGGGTCGTAGCCGCAGTTAAGGGGACCGGCGGGGCTATTGCTGCGACTTGTGGGTTCGCCAGGGGGGTTGAGATTAGCGATTTGGCCGGGAGGGTTGACCAAATAGTTACGTTTGGCCGCCATTGCAGGGCGGTCAGGCGTTCGAAGGTTTGAAGACCCTCTCGTATGAGTCTGAGAGCAACCTCCTTGGATCTAAGAGTCTTAAACTCATATCTTTCTGCCCTTCTTACTCTAAGTCTAGTCCATTGGTTTTGAGAGGAAGGCGGCAGGCGGGATTGCAAACCGTAATCTGCGCCAAGTCCTTTGTGGGAGGTTGCCCCACCGATTGCGGGAGCTCTACCGGAGCCTAGGGGAAGCTTTGGGGGCAGAGAATTGGCAGGTAACCATTATGTCTCTTTTATAAACCCAGTTATGACCCCTACTTGTACGTCTTGCTATGTTTGACTGAGTGTATTGCATGCACCCCTACTTTGACTTTGGTTTGACTGACAGGACACAATTCAGATTAAGTAAAGGAATGTGTGCGCAATCTTAGTTTCAGTTTTTGTTGATTGCCTGAAGGCAGATTGTGAACATAAGGGGTTACATCTGGGGGAAGGGTGGGTGAAAGGTGGTTTTGCTTGAGCTTGAATGAGCCCTATGGGGTTAGACCAGTTCCATAAGATTGGACGGCCTGACCACTGTGTTTATTTCTGAATTGCATGGAGAGTCAGACCAGTTCCATAAGATTGGACGGCCTGATTGCTCTGAATTGTGAGGGTTTGACTGTCGCTGACTTTTCAGGGGCCAAATCTGTACCATAAGATTGAAGGCTTTGGTTGCCATATTTGGTTGGGATTTTGTTCTGTTTCTTTTGTTTTTGGTCGAGGGGGTCTGAGCAACTCCATAAGATTAAATGGCTCAGCCCCTTCCTGTTTTATTTTGAGAGGATAATTCTTGCTGAGGGCAAGGCATGTCCATAAGATTGGACGGCCTTGGACTCATGCCGCACACAGTGGGGTCGGAGAGAAACGAACCTGGCAGAGGACCAGATATGTTCCATAAGATTGGACGGTCTGGCCCAAAGCCTCGCACATGTTGGAACCCAAAAGTTTAAATTTTTGCTATATTTTATACTATCCTATCTATGAACAGGCTAGCCAGGCATGGGTTCCATAAGATTGGACGGCCTGGCTATAGCTTATCATGAAATGAAGAGAGTATAACTAAGAGGATAATTGAAGGTAACCCTGGGCAGGYTGAACCTTGTTCTAAGATGAACGACTCAGTCTTATGCCCARCTGTTGAACACCAAACTCAAAGAGGTATATAAAAGTTCGATATTAAACAGTTATGGGCGACTAAGCCTTGTTCTAAGATGAACGACCTAGTCGTATGCCCAGAAGGAAGAGAGAAGTAGTTGTGCAACCTGTTCGTGTATACTCAATGGCTGAGTCAGGCAAGTTCCATAAGATTGGATGGCTTGACTTTATGCCCTATGTAAGYCGGGTATAAGGGAAAAAAGTATCGAGAGATTAYGAACTATTGTTTGCAAAGTTTGACTTGGGATGGTGAGAGTACTAACTTTKTGGGTTGGCCTACATGAGACTGAGTGAGGCTACTACTTGGTTAGAGTGTCAGGTTAACAGGTAGTTGCTTTAGAGGCTCGCCTCGTGCTAGAGCGATAGGAGTTAGGTCGATTCCTGCATTTTCTGAGCTAAGTTTTTTTACTTAGATCGACTTTCGCATTTTCTCGGATTTTTTGTTATACTTSGCTTTGTATAAATTTTGGTAAGCTACTTTCTCTACGGGAAGCGCTGCCRAAATTTCTGTAAATCCAAGGAGTTAGTCAAATTTTGACTTGTCAAAGTTCAACTTGTCTAAAGTTATATATGACTTAGTAAAAATCTRRAAAGTCTCATTTTCTAAAGGGAGTGCTGCCCAATTTTTTGCTAATTCAGGGAGTTAGATAAAATTGGACCTTGGAAAGTCAAAGACTATTTCTGTTTTCGTATTCGGGCTGATATAAATTCTGGAAAGGCACTTTTCCTACGGGAAACGCTGCCCAAATTTTCTTAGTTTARAGGAGTTAGATTATATTTTGACAGGTGRCGATTCTGGCAATCCACCCTGAATAGGGAAGATCCTGCCGTTAGTCTACCTTTGCTTTGGGCACTGCTTAGAGGTACAGTTAGACTTGGTTGACAGATAACTTTGAGTGAGAATGTGCTATGGTGGTTCATCCCCCATATGCTGATAATTTAGCTTGGACATTGACATGTCTTACGATACAAACTTTCGTTGGACTTCAATTCAGGACTTGGATTAGCTTCAGGTTGATCCTGTAAGGATCACCTTCTATTATCACTGATAACAGGTCGGTTGTCGATTCGCCGGTCTACGACTCAATTCCAACTCACTCGTCACACCCAATCTAAAAGGYTTTAGCTATGGTGACTTTATTGTTTGTTGAGGGTTCCACCCGAACTTTTATTGAATGGTCATTTAACAAAGGTACTATGTATTTAATTATGGTTGGTTGGGYGGGAGATTGGGGTYTGCATGGCTAAAGCAAGGGGTATGAGTGTGAAGATTGGTTGGGGTTGACTCCGTGTAGTGCRTGGTTGCTKCTCGATTCTTTGATGTGATTGTAGGTAGACCTTGTGGCTCGGATTTTGATTTGGGGTTGTCTGCGATCTCATATATATACTTATGGATGTAAGGAGTCCCGTAGTGGTCTGTGAGCACTGATCGTCGCAACTTTATCTCCCCTATGTGTGTATACTTGGGTGTMTTTACTGTGGGGGTTCGCGAGGCCGGGGCCGCGATTACCACATATGACAGGCATCGYTGGTCGGTATGGGACTAACCAGCAGCCGCGCAACCTTATGTAAAAATYCTGCRTGCGATGCTTCGCCGCCCCAACGCCCAGAGGTTATGGGATTGGGAGGCTCGCACGTAGACGCAAATGCTTGAGGTCATTGTAGGCCATGAGCATCACCCAAGGAGAGAGAGGATACCCCCAAAAGATCATGAGCTTGGCTGGAATAAGAGGGGGCCCTCGGCCCATTTGTCTGCTTTTTAGGGTTTTTATGGTTGGACATTGTAGTCCGTGGCAGCCGTCAAAGTTAAACCCCTTGATGTTTGACCGCCACGACAGCTTAAAGYTGTCTACTCAACCCCTCTGCAAAGGGTGCAGAAGAGGGTGTGGTTTTCAACCGCGCATGGCGGTTGTCCAGCGCCGAGAGATTCACTCTCAAGGCGCGTGTCAGCCGACACCTGAGTGTCGAATGCGACCCTCGAGATTAACAARGACCGCACGATTATGGGCACTACATAGTACGCCATCATTACGGCTGCTTGCGTACGTCTGCATCACGAGCCGATATGGGTTAGCCCTGCGTCCGCTTAGTTTTATACTAACTCGCGTGCGCGACGCTTGTCAAATTTCTGTGTCGGGAAGTTATGGGTTGGCTACCGAGGGGCTAAGAGCGTTGTCGCGTTGTTTCTCGTGTTGTGTTGTATGTGCATGTGTGTGTGYTTTATTTTTGTTTTCGTAAAGTGGTGTGCGCGTGGTGTGTGGGATGCGTCCTAGTCGACCAACGACGAGTCGCGCTTGAGACCTCAGCCCCCCAAGATGTCGGTTCGCGTGCGGGTCCGATAGGCGTATTACCTCGCGTACCCCCTATGCTACAACGAATGAGAAACGCCCTCGGCTGGTCCACCTCTTCGATTGCAACCGAGTAGCTTTCATACTGTGGACTGGTAGCTCGGCGGGGATACGCCCACCGAAGGGAGGTGACAGCTCCCGTAAGGTGGAGGTAAGATGTGCCTCGCGTAGGCCCTATCCTGTCGTAGGGGCTCGCGAGAGGTATGGCTGGCGCACTCGGCCGGAGCGGCCTAAGGAAGATCCATTTGTGTGCTCGCGACAAGGTTGGTCCAACTCCTGCGTGACGCGGCCGAGAGGGTCCCGCGCTGCCGCGTGTGGTGCTGGACCGATGCGCCTGACAGGTGGCGCCGTTGCCGGTGATGACGGAAGCCTACCTTTGTCCCTGGTGGACCGACATCAAGATATGAGAATAAGAGAGAACTAAGCACGTGAGCAAATAAGAGAAGAACTATGAGACGGATCGTATAGTAGTCTATATGGTTGTGTGGGTGTGAATGTTGATCTGCTTGGTGGTTTGGCTGATGGCATGAACGAGGTGAGTATGTGAGTGAATTACGTGATGAGAATGGGTCTTACTTAGGTGAACCCAAGGAGGTAGGAAGTAGAGAGAGAGATGCCTGCCAGGTCCACAGCGTCGGGTGCTTAGGTGGTCGGTCCGATAGGATCGTAAAGGAATGGACTGCTGAGTGGAACCTTTCGTCCTATCGCTTCTTATAACAGGGGGATTGAAGCCGAAGGCAGTTAATCAAAATGCCTGAGGAGATGGCGGACGGTGGGAGAAAGCTTGTAACGCTCAACGACCTCATCGATGCCCTAGATAAGCGCGAGAGAGCGCCGAGCAATGTCCCGAAGGTTGATACTTTCCACTTCAAGGGAGAACGGGTGTCCGACTAGCTAGACCTGATGGAGCAAGCACTGGTGGGGCTGTTGGACGAGGTCAAGCTCCAGCGAGTTCTAAGATATGTCCTTCATAGCCACCATCAAGAAGTGGGCAAGGTCGTGGATGCCGCCAATGGTAGTTGGGCGAGGTTCAGGGACATGATGCAGAGAAAGTACAGGTTGGGGGATGGCTTGTTAACCATGGCGGATTTGGAGGCCATGAACAAGGATGACTTCTCCACGATTGGGGCGTTTGTGCACGAGTTTAAATGGAAGGCACGGAAGGTGCACGGGATCTCCGAAGAAACGCAGTGTGCCATATTTTTGGGTCTGCTTACTGGCTCGGAGGCCTCGGAGCTGACGGGTCACGGAGGGGGAAATGAGAAACTCACCTGGGCCACTATCGACAAAGGGGTGGAAGAGGGGAGCCTGGACCAGGTGGAGCAACACCAGGTGCGGCTGCAAAGGCGCAAGAGAAAGGAAAGGGACGCCACCGCGTTCGGGACCCCAGGGGTGAAGAGGATCGTCACGGACGTATTGGCAGCGTTGGGGTATGATAATGAGGCGGAAGTGCAAAAGAGGGGAGTGACCGTGGCCCAAGGCCGGGCGTCCGAGGCAGTGGAAGAGGAGGCTAGGCGCGAGGACTATGGTGGAGAAGAGACGGGCTCCCTGATCCTAACCAAGGCCCAGAGGAAGCAACGGAATTTACAAGTGGGGGGTCAAGGATCCGAAAAAGGGCAGGTCCCGCAAGCGATTGATGTGCCTCCACCTGCTGCCACGACAACGTCAGCGACGGCTGGGCCGTCATGTATGGGGCCGCCGCCGGCTTGTGGGCACTGGGTGCCGCATTGTCAGTCTTCATCCTGGCCCAGTTGTAATCACTGCACCTCGTGCGGGGGTAGTCAAACTCACCCCGGGCAAATGGTCCCTTATGAGGGCCCAGCGGCAAGTATGGGGCCCCCGAGCTACCCTGCGGCTCAGGGTCAGTTTGTGGCCCAACCACCTCCCTCCCAACAGGCCTCGCAGGCTAGCGTGGCCGGTGGAGGAAACCAAGGACAAGGCGGACAAGGCAATGGAGGCCGAGGTCAAGGGGGTCGAGGAGGTGGCGGCCGAGGCCAGGGAGGAAATGGTGGGGTTCGTGGGGGTGGTTGGAATGGTCAAAGGGGCCAGAACCAAGGTGGCTGGGGCGGCCAGGAAGGGGGCCAAGGGTATGGGAGGCCCCGCTTTGATTGGCGAAATGCCACCTGTTGGCATTGTGGCGATGTAGGCCACACTGTGCGGTTCTACGAGCGGAGGCGGGAGGATGAATTGTCAGGGTTAATCTCCTCCTGTATGGACGGGAATATCTATGACAAGTGGGGTAAGCATATCGACCCCAGGACCCCGGGAGGAATCAGGCAAGAGGCTCTCCGGCGAGCAGCAGCGGGACCCACAGCACCCCCGACAATGTTTAGGATGTGGCAGGTGAAGGAAGAGCCGACCGTAAGAGTGGAGGAGATTGTAGGGGATAGTGAGGAGGTCACTCGGCGACTAAAGGCTGGGACTATAAGGGAGGAGCCAATAGTCATCGAATCGGATGACGAGGGGCAGGAAGGCGAAGGAGAGCCGGCCATAGTCCTCTTGGGGAGGATGGAAGATCTGCTGGAAAAGGTGGGAAGGTACCAGCGGAAGGTGCAGGCCCTGTGTGAAGAAGCCCGAGAGTGGGAGGCCAATCTGCCTGAGGTCTTCCTTTACGACTCCGGACCTGAGCCTTCACCAGGACAACAGGGGTACCCAAGAGTGGCGAGTGTAGGGACGGGCCCTAGGTCAGGTATGGCCTATAGACCCCCCACGTCGCATGGGAGGGTGCCGCAGGCGGCTCGGACTAGGAGCCAAATTAAGGTCGGGCCTAGCCAAGAGCCCAGTCAAGCACCCCCTCGAAAGGAGCCCGAGCCAGGACGTAGGAAAGAGGTGGTGGAGGTTCCAGAGGAAGAGGAAGAGGAAGAGGATGACGACGAAGAGGATGAGAGGCTCCGACAAGAGGAGGATCAGCGGGCGGAGCTGAGGGCCAAAAAGAGAGGAGCCCGGAGGAGGCCGAGCCAAGCCTACCAGACAGCGTACCTAAGAGGAAGAAGTATGCGGTCCGGATGGAGGAAGGTTTTGATGTGGAGCGGATGGTGGACAAACTCCTGGAAGGCCATAATGACTTGATGAACCTGAAGGATATCCTGGCGTCGGCGCCAAGGCTCCGTGGGGAGTTGAAAGGGCGACTCTCACGAAGATTGGTGCGAAATGTCCATCTGAGTACGGTCCTGCCCAGGGAGGTGGAGTGGACTGAGGCAGGGACAAGGATGGATTGGAAACGTGTGGCGTGCGGGCAAGTGGATCTGGTGATAAAGAACCAGAAGTGCACTGGGATGGTGGACACGGGCGCAGAAATAAATATCATCAGGGAGAAGGAGGCGGCGATGATAGGCATGGAGATCGACTGCTCGGACCATGGCATGCTGCATGGCGTGAACTGCAAGGCCGCTTTTTGCGGCACGGCGTCTAATGTGATTATAGAGATTGGAAAGGTGCGAGCCAGGACGTGCTTCTTCGTCATGCCCGATGTCGATCATCCCATCCTTCTGGGAAGGTCGTTCCTGTGTCGAACGAAGATGTTGATTTTTAATAAGCACGACGGGACAATGATCCTGCTCTTATGCGACCCAGCGTGCGGGAACTACGAAGTTGTCACCTGCCGAAACATGGGGCCGGGGAGCGGGAGGAACAAGCCTAATCTCGACTCATTCACCTTCGAGGAATCGGAGAACGAGCGAAGATGGCTTTGGGAAGTGCCCGAGGAGGAGGATAAGGCTGAGGTGCCGACACTGAGCCTCACAGATGTGAATAAGGCCATGGAGGTGGTGTCGGCTCATGACATGGCGGATCCGGAGGCCATTAAGGCATCGAGGGAGCAGGTTTTGGAGAACCCTCAAGTGGGAGAGGTGGAGTTGGTGTATCAGCTTCCAGGAGGGGGAGGAGGCCCTGCAATGGCCCAGGCCCGAACGACAAGTCGGCCTTTTTTAGGGGAGGGCTTAAGCAGGGCTCCCAAAGGTGGTACAAGACCATAGATAAGAAGTGCCGCCCAGTTCACGTGCTCGTCACGGAGGATGAGGAAGCGTACTACGAGTTGGAACGAGGATTGATACGGCGTATGCGGGAGCACGCGTTGGCCGGGTCGTGTCGTATCAACGACGAGAATGAGGGAAAGTTGATAATCGGGGAGCCCAACTTCCTGTCGCCCCAGGAGAGAGCGTTAATGGTAGGACTGATGAAGAAAAGACACCGTGCGTATGTGTTCAATGACGACGAGTGTGGGAGGCTGGATGTGGATAAGATTCTGATGATACGAATCCGCACTGTTCCACACGAGCCATGGAATCTAAGGAGCGCACGATACCCAAATCCGGATGAGGAGAAGAAGGTGGTGGACTACCTGGACGACAAGATGCGGACACACGTGGCCGACTATTCGAGTGGACCGTACGCGTCGCCTTGGTTTTGTTTTATTAAACCAAATGGGACGCTAAGGTGGGTGCAGGACTTGCAGCGGCTAAATGCGGTGACAGTGCGGGACGCGGGAGGGTTGCCAAACGCGGACGCATTGTCAGAGTCGTGCGCAGGGAGGCCTATAATCTCGCCTATAGACCTCTACTCGGGGTACGACCAATTCCCCGTATACCCGCCAGACAGGCCCGTAACGGCGATGCACACACCCAGAGGTTTGATTCACATGAACGTGGCGCCTCAAGGTTGGACAAATGCAGTAGCGATGGTGCAGAGGCATATGATCAGAGCCATGCAGACGGTCAACCTACATATCACCCAACGCTATATCGATGACCTGGCGGTCAAAGGTCCGAAGGAGAAAGAGGAAGACGAAGTGATGCCCGCCGTGCGGCGTTTTGTCTGGAAGCATGTCCAAGACATCGATCAGGTTCTGGGGTTATTGGAGGAACATAACCTGACGGCAAGCGGCCCTAGGTCGAAACATTATATGAGGGAGGCCATGATTCCAGGTTTTGTCTGTAATGAGAGTGGGCGAAGGCATGACGTAAAGAAAACAGACAAGATCCTTGAGTGGCCAGTGCCCTTCCGCTCGATAACGGATGTGAGGGGCTTCCTTAGGACATTCGGGTTTTGGAGGAGCTTCGTAAAGGACTTTGCCACAAAGACTGAACATTTAAGGAAGTTGGTGCGTCAGGATCAGGAATGGGTCTAGGGCGAGGACCAGGAAGAGGCGGTTGGTAGGATGAAGGGAGAATTTAAGGAAGGGGGTTTGGTATTGGGAGTGCCAAACTATGAGGCCACGGAGGAAAGGCCATTCGTCATTGAGACGGACGCTGGGCCAACTGCCTTAGGAGGAGTCCTGATTCAGGCAGACACTGAAGAGAAGGAGAGAACGCTAAGGTTCGAAAGTCGCACTCTCAATACAACTGAGAGGAACTACTCTCAGTTCAAGAAGGAGACGCTGGCGGTACTTCATTGCCTAAGGACCTTCCGGAACTATGTTTTCGGCAGGAGGCTCATTTTGAGGGTGGACCCACTGCACTTGCATGCTCCCTGAAAAATTACACTCCGTATGACCCAACCGTTGCAAGATGGTTGACCTTCATTTTGATGTTTAATTTCAAGCTGGAAAGGATTCAAGGGAACAAGAACAGGGTAGATGGGTTAAGCCGCATCAACTGGGACGGATCGGACCAGGAATCAATAGAAGACGCCCCACCAGTTGATGGGTTTTTGGACCAAGAGGAGGACGTCCGCCTGCATATAAACGAGTGGTCCCTGCGAGTACCCAGTTGCGTCAGCCACCCTATATGGTTAGCGCCAAAGGGGTACGAGCAGAAGGAAGAGTTGGTCCTCAAGCCTTTTCAAGAGGAGGATCCGTGGGGGAGCAAGGATGTTGGTTGGATGATGAAATGACATTGGCAGGAACGCACAGCTTGGTGGAGGAAATGAGGACGATAGAAGAAGGCCCCACTCAGGTAGAGGAGCATGAGCAACTAATGGGAGGGATGTACCTGCTCACCAATACGCTCCTGCAAGAAGACTTTGACCGAAAGGGCTCGTTCAGTCATGAGGAAAATGAGATTCTAGTTCCTGAAAGTCGGGACGACGAATTCGAGGAAGGAGAAATCAAGGAGGCGTTTCAGGCGGAGGAGTACGATGGGATCTACCGGGAATTGGGGTTGCTCCTATCATGTGAGATGAGGGATAGAGATGCAAGTGCCAAGGCACAGGAGATGAGGCACCTCTATGTGGTAAGAGACGGCCACTTGTTTATAAAGCGGCAGGTCGGGAACCCTAAGAGGATCGTATGTGGGAGGAACCGGCAAATTGATATCATAGCTGCCCTACACGATGGTATAGCAGGGGGGCACAGAGGAGTTGGTGCCATATGCGCGAAGATAAGCGAGCTCTACCATTGGGACGAGATGCTGACGATGGTTATCAAATACTGCCAGTCCTGTATACCTTTTCCAAGAGAGGTCAGCGCAAAGGCCTGGAGAGCCCCTACACCCAAGGTTGGAAAGGAAAGTGGGTGCGGTCGTACACTTGGACCTGTTATTCATGCCAACAGGGGAGAATAGGTGTAACTACATCTTCGATGCACGGGATAACCTTACTGGGTTTGTGGACGGACGAGCTATCCGGACGAAGACTGGCCCGGTTTTGGCAAACTGCATCGAGGAGTATTACCTGCGATATCCTTTTGTCAAGGAGTTCGTGATGGATCGAGGATCAAAGTTTACCTGCAATGAGGTGAGGACGTTGCTTGCAGGGTATGGCGTAGTGGCCAACTATACTACGGCCGCGCACCCTCAAGCGAACGCTCCTGTGGAGAGAGGGCACACACAGTACCATCACGAATCTTCTGGCTAAGTGGACAGAGGGTAAGCCTGGCCAGTGGCCAAAGTTCCTACGGGCAGCTTTCTTCGTGGAGAATGTTACTGTAAAGAGGACTACCAAGTACGCGCCAGCCACACTATGGTATGGGAGGCACGCCACCTTTCCCATAGAAAGCCTTATGAAAACGTGGAGGCGCCAGGACTTGGAGGTGAACCTGTCCTTCGAAGAACTGCTCGATATTCGGGCGCGACAAGTGGGGGCGGCCGAAGAAAGATTGCGAGAGGCCGCTGGTCAGGTAGAAAAGAGCCGCATGGAAGATAAGATGAGGTGGGACCAGATGGCGCGAGTAAGGAAGGAGCCGTTGGCAGTAGGGGACGTCGTGTTACTGTACGACTCCTCTCTGGAGAAGCAATGGTCGAGAAAGCTCGACAAGAGATGGATGAACCCCTATAGAATTTTGCGATGTGGCGAATTTGGGGCCTATCAGATCGAGGAGCTGGACGGGACAGGCTGGCAGGATTGGGTATCAGGGACCAGGCTGAAGAAATTCGTGGTCAGGGAATAGGTAAATAATTTTACATTCTTCAGAATGGACTAGTCCTTGAGGTGTTGCATGTTATGGTTAAGGCAGGTGAGGGAGTAGGAAAAGGCATGTGTGTTATCATAAAAACTCGATGAACCGAGGGCTAACCTTGTTGTGTGCCTACTTGCTTTTCTCTCGCCTGTTGTGCAGGTCAGACTTTTCGAAGACAGCCATGCAGAGACGCGGGAGGGGCGCGCGGCCACGACAGAGGCCTCAGGGAGCATCAGGAGGGGATGACTCGCGCAGACCATCTGAGAGGGAGTCTACGCCTGTTTTCGACGATGATAACATAGAGTTCTTTCTAGACTCCTACCAGGCACATGCGACACAGGAGGGTTGGTCTACCTTGGAGAGGATACGACACCTGAGAGGAGTTGGGCGTTTTGAGGAGCATATTGCGCACATCCAGGAGGAGGCTTTGACCTGGCAGGATGTGGAGGCGAGGATGCAGATGCTGAGGATTTCGCCGTTGGGACCGGATGGGTTGCCTATTCGATTGGAGGAAGACAATGCGGAGGAGTTCATCCCGGCCTATGAGCAGTATAAGCGCGACCAGGGGACTGGGCAGGAGGAGTGGATGCAGATGCTGCCCCTCTGGACGCGGAGAGCGGAGAGGTCGTTGGCGAGGCAGATCCGAGACAGGGCACGCGACTGGGAGGACTGCCAGGCCCAGTTGAGACAGGCATTTCGACGACTAGAGCCCGAGAGACCAGAGCCCAGGGTGGAGAGACGACAGAGGAGTAAGAGGTCACAGGGTCCAGGGCCGAAAGGGGCCACTACGACCAGAGGGGGCCGAAAGGCCTCGGCACAGCGAGATGGGCCAGCAGAGGCCGCCCAGGCGGTGGAGCCAGTTCAGGCCACGGGGCCAGCTCAGGTGGCGGAGCTACCCCTTACCTATGGACTTGAGCGGGTGGAGTTTCGCCGAATCACGGGCAGTGATCTACGGGGCCCGTCCCCAACGTTACCAGAGGGGGGGGAGGCGGTGCCATTGAGAACGCCGCTCGACAGGTTGGAGGCTCATCTCGATGCGTCCCAGTGGGGGGCGTCACAGCTGGGAGCGGACCAGAGCGGACCGGCACGGTATGAGCCAGTAGAGGAGGAGCCACATGAGTCGGGGCCTGAGGCGAGGTCTCGCGAACCCGGGGAGCCGCAGACTGAGGGGGTTATCACTGTTGGGGATGATACCCCTCCTCCTACCTCGATTCCAGAATAGGCGCGGCAGTATTGGCCTGAAGGAATTCCTGAGCCGAACAACGAGGAGATGTTGGGGCCTCCATCGGAAAATACTACGCCACCTCCGACGCAGGCAGACCCAGAGGAGGGCGAGAGAGTGAGGACACCTACTACTATGGCACCACAACTAATTGAGCCTACAGGTGAACGTATGGATGTGGAGGTGCCGACATCCGGGGAGCCTCCGCCAGGGCCGCCACCCACAGAGGAGGGGACGAGTGGGAGAGACCCACTGCGAGAGACCCATGAGGTGTGGGTAAGGAGGCCATCAGGGAAGACGGAAAAAAAAAAGTGCGCGAGGGTGCAGGTACGCCTCGAGGAGTTATACCAGGAAAAGCTCGGGATGGAGGCCGCGGGAGAAGCGCGAAAGCCGCCAATTGACCCTCCGACGAGCGAGCAGAGGATTAGCGAGGCTTGGGCCAGCTATGAGAGCGAGAGGGATGCTGCTTGCCTGAGGTCGCGAGAGGTAGGGCAGGAGAGTGCGAGGGTGGACGAGGCACGAGAAACATAGGACGGATTTTCAGCCGCCAGGATGGAGATTGAGCGTGCAGACAGGAGGATAGGTGAGGTGGCGATCTCGTCCTTCCAGCGGTACTCCATGCTCAGCGATGAGTTGGCGGCCTCGAGGTTAGAAGTGGGAGAGTTGTCCATCCAGTTGGCGGAAGAGAGGGCAGAGAACCAAGCGTGGAGGTCCCGCATGGAAGCCAAGGAGGCGGAGTGGGAGAAGAGGCTCCAGGACATGGCGGCTATGGTAGAGAGGCTCTCGGCCACTAAGGTGGTCGACTGGACGGAGCAGAGCCGGTATGGTATCCAGGGGAAGAAGGTACAGGGGCTCTTTGGCCAGGAAGGAACGACAGAGACGACACAGCAAGAGGGCATGGGAAAGGTATTCCTGGACCCAACAGAGGCGGTGGCAAGGCGGGAGGCCGAGGAGAGGAGGTTCAGCTTCAGGACTCCTACTGAGTTGGCCTCGCAACAGGCCACCACTATGACGATTGAGGTTCATGGGGACGAGCCGGCGCAGAGACCGCAACCTCCAGTGGCGGAGGGGGGCCCCACAGAGGAGTCCACTACGATCCTTTTGGAGGTGCAAGAGGGTGCCCTTACGGGAGCAGCAGCATCCATGGGGGAAGAGGCGTCTCGACTGGACGAGTTGGTGGCAGCTATGAAGCTGGACATGCCGTCAGGAGGGCCTCAGAGGCAAGAGACCCCAGAGCGCGTGCCAGAGATAGGGGAGTTGAGGACGCAGTTAGGCTCTTGGGCTACTGGAGCTGACTAAGGAGAGCACATCTCAGAGCAGCAGCAGGAAGTTATGAGCGAGCCAGCGACTGCCATGACTCCCCAACCTTCTGACCTCCATAGGGACGAGGGGGTGACTGCGATGGGAGGAGTCCGCGAGGGTAGGCCACTGAGATTGGACACTCCAGCGTACCGACCCGAGGGAGATGAGGTGCTAGCAGGGCCGAGTACCCAGATGATGGGGGCAGGGCCGGCAGAGTCATGGAGTATGCCCCAGAGCCACGAGATGAGCAGGGAAACTAGCGAGACGCCGCCGTTGCCTGGGTCCCAGAAGAAGAAGAGGAGGTGTCGGGGGAGATCAGACGATCAGTGCTTCTTCTGCAAGGACGGCGTATATAGAGCTCTTGAATGCCCGAAGTTTCGTAAGGACAAGGCGGCTGGGAGAGTGACAGGGAGTGGTGGGAGGATATACGACTGACAGGGGCGAGTGGTAGAGCGGGCTCCAGATTGGGGTAGGGCACAATTGTATAGGCAGAACCAGGAGGCCATGAGTGAGTAGGGGCTGGCCTGTCTATATGACAGTAGGACTAGAGTTCCTTTGTACCCAGAGGTCGGGTTAGGGATGTACGTACTCTGAGTCGGTTGAGTGGATCCTAAGGGGTGTGTACGTCTGAGTTCGTCGTGGGAGTCCTGTCTAGTTGTACATACATAGGTGGCAGGGCTCAATCGGTCATTGGGTTTTGTGTGTGGTACAGTTCAGCGGGTGAGATTCAGTTGTGAGATACCTGTGACTGTGTGATTGGTACATTAGGTTTGGAGGTTTGGAAACCTTCCTTACATTTCTGATTGGATCCTGAGAGCCATAAAATCTGGGGTGTGAGTCCACCCTGTAGAGTGTACAGGGAACTGAGTGCTGAGTTGTTCACTGGGGCGGGCATCCTATTCCTAGGTATATCCTAGGAATTGTGTGTGTGAGAGTTTGAGTTGGGTGCTGTATTGAGACTTGAGGGAGATATTTTGCTCCCGAGTATATTTTGATTTCACACTCTGTGGGATTTACTCTTGTGACGATCACGATCACTTTCACACGTGTGGCTTTATCCCAATGAATGAGGGCTTTGTGTGAGAGATGTATGGGATACATCTCATGTATGTGTATTGTGTGATTGTGATTATCGTCTACTCTTCAGTATACTCGTGCGGCCTGCCCATGGGCGGGTGAAATGACCGAGTATCAGGGGAGGCAGCGCGACTGTTTTGTGACAGATGTGTGAGGACCCTAAGGGGTCTTGCGTGCCTATAAGACTCGAATGCTTACCATGCTGAATGTTTATGGCTAAGTTGTGAAAGGGACCCATAAATTGGTCCCCCTGTTTGAGTTGTTTTGCGTATGAGTTGACAAAGGGACCCTTAAGTAGGCCCTCAGTGAGTTGCTCTATGGTGGAGACCCCCTTCAGATTATGGAGGGTGGAAATGCTGGTTATTGACGGTTATACAACCGAGGTCGCGTGATAGTCTATCCTATAAGAAGAGAGGGATGGCATGGAGACCTATTACGAGAGACCCCCTTCATGTGAAAAGAGGGTAATAGATTTAAGGGCATGGTAAGCAGTGTTTGAGTTGATAAAGCCTGACGAGAAGAACCAGAATTACAGACTGGATCATTGGTGGAACTGGGAAGGTCGCAAGTTAGTGCATTAAGATGTCATGGGATGCGTGGGCTGCTGTCTCTGATCAAGTCAGTAGGTCACGGCCTTGTGTATGAGTCTGGCGGTGAATCTGTTTGTGATTTTAAAAAGGGGTCATGCTTCCTATGTTGTCCCATAGGGAACTGGTAAACGCCTTTAAGTGAGACAGACCCCTGCGTAGTCCCGCAGTGGGCCTATGGTCTATTTTGCGACCCACCGTTCAGACATTTGTGCTAATCCCAGGGCATGTTGAAGAATACCAAGCTAAACGGTAAAGGTTAGCACCTCTAGGGTGCAACCCCTATTGGATAACTGCAAGCCAGCACAACCTGACTGACCCGCGTCTACCAACGGGTTAAGAGTTTAAGGGGTTATTCACGCCCCAGGGAAATTACTCCGGTGGGATGGCGGGGGATATGAGTCGAGACTTCGGGTAGTCCTGATTGAATGTTTATCAGGAGAAAACCTATCGTTGCACAACCAACGACGGAACTGTCGTTAAGATAACACTGCGGTAGGCTGTAGATCTGGCTCGATCAACCAGACTATGGTGGGCCAAGATGGAGACCTAACATTTTTGTACTAGACTGCAGAAAGAGCTGAGAGGAGATTTATCTATATATATATGTTTGATTGTGAGGATTTTTGCGAGGGAGGCGAGAGTGACTTCTGAGATCTCGTCTAAGGCCCGCGTCTCCGTATGACTCTACTTACAAGAGAGAGTCTAACTGGGACACCCAACAAAAAATCGGCATTCGTCTAGGACGAAGGGGAGAGGACGATTTGAGATGGCCTTTGGAACTTATGCTGTAGTATTGATGCGTAATACACCTGCGTCCTAGTGTCAGGACAACGGAAACCCAGGTTGAAACCCTGGCAGTATATAGTTATGTCGGCATGGAGTGTTGGAGGCCTCAACCCTGAGCCTGTCGGCTAATCGGAATTGGTTCCGCCCTCGTCAGCATTTGGAGTGTGAATGAGTTTGTAGCCTTCTGATTCGGCGTAGCGACGGGGACGTCGCTTAATATAGTCCGGTGGGCTGTCGGCGCGAATACACTTTCAAGGGTATCCGCCCTGGTTTTTGTAAACGACAGGGAAAATGGGTTGTGCGAGACGCGACCGCATCCGGGGCCGCCTTGGTTAAGCTAGAGGGTATGTGAGCGAGCAGTGTTAAGGCGCATGTGTGATATTTTTCTGGTTGAGTGAGCGGTCGGTTTAGCCCACCAACCCGGACCGAGTTGCGGGCTTGATTAAGGGAGAAAAGTCCATTTCCTGGGCGGGCAGGGGCGACCGATGGTAGGACGGGAGCGTGGGGCAACCATGGCGAGGTCTGGGTAGGTCGGAGCGGGGGCCTAGCGATGGCACGTTTGGTTGCAGGCAGAAAGAGGGGGCCCAGGCTGTTGTCCCCAGGCCTAAGCATGACGCGACACCACTTCATATAGGAATCCGCGCCTAGTTGTTTAAAGCTGGGAAATAACCCTATGGGTTACGGCATTGGAATTTCGTTACGGAGGAACGGGGATCGAGGCCGGCAGGGCATCGGCACGGCAGCGGCGGAGTGTCAAGGAGAGTTGAGGGGGTTGAGGGCCTGGCGGGACTATCCCCCCTCGGTTTTGTTGGTAGATGCGACTGTGGACCCGGCCCACGGGGCCGGTGGGGTGCCAGCAGTCCCCGCTCCTTGTTAGGAATTTTATATATATACATATACTCTTGATGAGTCGGTGAAACTCCGACGAAACAGTTTGTCACAGCCCCTCGTTTGTTGTCCTCTTCTCTCTCTCTGCCTACGGTTTACCGGGCAGTTCTGTTTGTGACGATATATATATATATATACCAGGCAGTTCTGTTTGTGACGATATATATATATATATATTTATTTCGTATTGTTCTGCTTTTTATTATTATTTATTTTATTTTCATTTATTGTTTTCATTGTTATTCGTGGGGCCGTTTTGGTTGGGGCGCGGCACCACGGCTGGCGGTTCTAAGTTTGAAAAGCCGCCAATGAGGTGCGGCCGCGGCCGAGGTCGTTCGGGGTATCCGTAACTACTTGGAATGACACAGAGGAAATTTGCGCGGTCCCGGTGCCAGGGTGGGGCACGAAGCATAGGAAGGGACGCGGACGCAGACTGCGCCGGGTACATCCAGGACTCAAGAGTCAAGGGGCGGGCGGGATTGCCCCATAACTAAAGTTGCCCAGCGGCGGCCTGTTGCGGTAGCAAGCAGGCGCCGGCCGGTGCAAAGTCCCTCGGGACATCTGCACAGCTGGAGCGAGGCGCAAGGGCGACACGTACAAAACGGGGGAGGGAGGCCGGAGCCGGTCGCTGTCTGACAAAGTCGATTCGCGGACCACGCAGTCCGAGTGGAGTAGTGCGGCGTTGCGCTAACGACGGTCTTCGTTGACAACAACGTGGCGAAGGGGAATGGACCAGGACGTGGAGACGGGCCAGGTGCGTACGTGGTAGAGAGAGTGTAGGGGCGGAAGAGTGGCGGATCAATCAGTAGTCGGCCTCCCCCCGGAGTCTTTACGCGAAGTAGAAGAGGGCAGTGGGCAGTGCTACTGCACAGCACGAAGGCACGAGTGAGGGGGATGAACCCGACAGCAAAAAGCATGCCAGGTGCATGCGAATGGTGGTGAAGAAGGTGATGGCGGAGAGGCGGGTGAGGGCGCAGCTAGGGAGACAACGCGCTCTTGATTCCGAGTGAAGTGGAGGAGAAGAGTCGGTAGGGGCGGGGTCACAGCGGGGCGAAGTACAGTGAGGGAGATGGGCGCTGCGTGAACAGTAGCAGCAGCGAACGGCCATAGAGGGGAAACGTATCCGGACGCTATCCGCGTCCGGATTCATTCACAAAGCTGAGACGGGGGCAAGACGGTGGTGATAGGGTGGTAAGCACGAGTGTGTGCGATTGGGGGCGGCTCTCGGCGGGAAGGGAGATAAGTCAGGGGTTTTCTGTCGGGGCGAACCCCATGGTGGAGTCAGTTTTGGAGGAGAGTTAGTATAGGAAGGAGTTAGTAAGAAAAGGCTTGCACGGAGTTATGGCGGGAGGGAGATGTCGGGGAGTGGAAGATGAAATACCGCTCGATTTTTGACGAAATCGAGCGGGAAAGGATTCGGTATAGGGGGTTTTGCCCCGGGCGATCGCGCTGGTGGTGTTAGATTAGATGAAGGGTTAGTAGATAGATAGTTAGTAAAGGGGTAGGCTGCGTGAGGCTTTCGGTAGGGGGCATGGCCGAGTGGGGAACGGCTAAGCCAGGAGGAACCTTTCCACCTTTGGGCGGAAGATTCACTCTCGTTGTACGTAACTGCTGAGGGGCAGGGTATGGTCGGGTTGTGGTATCGTGTGTAACTTCGGCCGTAGGCCTTAGCGGGGTGGCGGTGTTCGTCTCCAACTAGCTGTTGCACTGCCGGTCCGCCATTTT